TGCGAGGGGCCCTGAGGGGCCCCTGGGGCCCCTCACTAAGAAGCTAAGGGCCACTGGGGGGCCCGGGGGCCCCTATGGGCCGCTTCTTAAGACGTTACGGGCCCCGAGAGGCCCCCAGGGGCCCTCAGGGGCCCCGGGGGCCCCCAGGGGGCAGTCGGGGGGACCCCAGGGGCCCCCAGGGGGCAGGCGCGCCCCTGTTGAGAAGGTAAGATACCCTGAAGGGCCCCCTTTTCAGGCGCTGAGGGCCGGCAAGGGTTTTGGGGGCCCCAGGGGGCCCCCCCCGTGGGCCCCTTCTTGATGTGTGTTTATGTGTTCTTGTTGTTCTTTCTCCTCTTTATTTTTCTGTTTCCTCGGTTGTTTTTCTTCTGTTTCTGTGTATACTTTTTTTTTATTTTTATTTTTTTATTTTTTTGTTTCTTCTTCATCGTCGCCAACTAAGAAGTCAATCAGCATACCCACGAGATAAACATTCAGACTGTTGCCTATCATGCTTCTGTGCTGCTGCCGGTCCTCATCGTGCTGTTGCTCTTGCTGCTGCTGCTCCTGCTGCTGCTGCTCCTGCTGCTGCTGCTCCTGCTGCTCCTGCTGCTGCTGCTGCTGCTGCTTCCGCTGCTGCTGCTGCTGCTTCCGCTGCTGCTGCTGCGGCTGCTGCTGCTGCTGCTGCTTGGGGAAAGAGAACCAGGAGGGGAAGCCGTGGAGCCGCAGCTGCTCCCTNTGCTGCTGCTGCTGCTGCTGCTGCTGCTGCAGCAGCAGTTTCTGTGGGTCTTCTAGCAGCAAAATGCTGCCGTACTGCGCCAGGCCGCTCTTTCCATAGTTCCTGGTGAAACACGTGCTGCGGATGCTGCTGCTGCTGACGAGGTCCACCATATGCCAAGCCTTTTGCTTCTGCTCCGCACTCAGCTCCAACGCAGACAACCTCCCGTGCTGCTGCTGCTGCTGCTGCTGCTGCTGCTGCTGCTGCTGTTGCTGCTGCTGGCGTGAGGGCTCTTCGGCGTCGTCTTCAGGGCCTGCAGGAAGCTCCTCGTTCGATCCTTTCCATTCAGTAACGCTGCTGCTGGTGCTTTTGTTGCTACTGCTGTTGCTGCTGGTGCTGCTGCTGGTGCTGCAGCTGCTGCTGGGGCTGCTGCCGTCGCTGTTGCGGGTGTTGCAGCAGCTGCTGCTGCAACGAGGAGGCAGCAAGGGATCAAGAAATGTACTCAGCGGCCATATAGGGCAACAGAAAAATGCCTGAGAAGAATAAAGGCCCGGGATCCGATCCAACACGACAGGGCGCTTCCCCCTCAGAGGTGCAGCAGCAGCAGCAGCAGCGGCAGCAACAGCTGGAGCAGCAGCAACCGCTGGAGGAGCAGCAGGAGCTGAAGCAGCAGCAGCAGATGGAGCATCAGCTGCAGCAGAAGAAGCAGAAGGAGCAGTTTCTGCGGCAGCTCCTGTCGCCCCAGGAGCATCTGCAGCAGCAGCATCACCAGCAGGATGAGTTGCAGCAGTAGCAGCAGCAGCAGCAGCAGGATCAGCAGCATCGTAGTAAGGTGCTGCAGCCCTGAGCCAGGCCGCATAGGCCCCGTCTGTGTGGTGAGCCCTTCTAGCTAGCAAGAAGCAGCGGGTGCGTGAGTTAGGGAGACCGAAGTGCAGCGGGGTAAGCAGCAGCAGGTAGACAGTATCGTAGCAGCAGCAATCCATCAGCACCTGCAGCAGCAGCTCGCATGCTTTGCTTGTTTCAAAGCCTTGAACGTTTTCGAGCAGCATGAAACGAGGAAGAGCAGCAGCNGCAGCAGCGAGCAGCAACGCCGGTCGCTGCTGTCCCCACGCAGCCCCCGCCGGGCAAAGGGCTGGCAGGGGGGTGAGAGCATCCAGAGTGTTGCTGCAGCATCGAGGTAGAAAGAGAGAGGAAGTTTTTCTATGCTTACATTCAGACAGACTGCAGCACCAGCAGCAGCAGCTGCTGTTGCTGCTGCTGCTGCTGCTGCGACAGGCAGCTTTCTGCTGTTCTTTCGCCCACGCTGCTGCTGCTTCTCATGCTGCTGCTGCTGCTGCTCATCGCGAGAAACACAGAAGTTGCTGCGGTACACAGCGCAGGCAGCATCGCTCACGTCAACCGCAGCAACTATCTGGTATGGCAGATCCCTGCTGCTGCTGCCGCTGCTGCTTCTGCCGCTGCTGCTGCTGCTGCTGCTGCCGCTGCTCCTGCTGCTGCTACTGCTGGTAGCTTCTGCTGCTGCTGCTGGTGGGAGCGACTCAAGCAGCGGGTGGACGCAGAAGCTGCTACCGTCTGTTGGAATTGCTGCAGCAGTCAGCTGAGGGGGGGAGGCAGCAGCGCATGCATTCGCTGGCGCTCGGGGCGTCCCCAGCCTGCAGCAGCATATATCTTGTTCCTCTGCTGCCTGTGCTGCTGCTGCTGCTGCTGCTGCTGCTGTGCCGCCAGGAAAGGGAAGGTGAGGCGGGGGAGGGCCCCCGCAGCAGCATCTGTTGAGCTTGAGGTTTCTGCTGCGCCTGAACTCGCGGAGCTGTTTCGCATGCAGCAAGCCGCAGTGCATGCCGCCTATGCCGCTGTACAGCTCCAGCACACGCAATACATCGCTCGGCATCTTCTATACCTGGTGGTAGTGGTGGTGGTTGTGGTGGCGGTGGTGTTTGGGGGGGGGGGGGGGGNGGGGGGGGGGGGGGGGGGGGGTTGTAGCTGGTGGTATTGCTGTCTGTTTGTGGTGGTGGTGGTGATGGTGGGGTTGTTGTTTTTCTCCTTGGCCTGTTTATAAGGATAAATTGCTGGCAGCTCGGGGGGAAAGAGCTGCTAAGCAGAGGCGGCAACAGGAGCTGCAACACAAACTACTCGGTGTTCCGAGTGTTGCTGCTGCTGCCGCTAGTGTTTCCGTGGATACTGCTCCTGCTGTTTCTGCTACTGCTGCTGCTGCTGCTGCAGGCACACAATTCCCGCTGCTCCTGCGGCAGACAGACGCCGCTAGGCACAAGCAGCAGAGGAGCCAGAGCGCAGCGCAGCAGAAGTCACTGCATTAAATAAATGAATTGAAAAACTAAATAAAAAATAAAACGAAAAGCAGAAGATCTAAAATACCGTGCTGCATGCAACGAAACCGGCGTAGCTGCTGTGGGGCGGGGGCCCGAGGCGCAGACGACGCCTTCGCTGCTGCTGCAGCAGCAGCAGCAACAGTAGCAGCAAGCAGCAGCCGTTGCTGCGTTTGCTGCTTGTAGTAGTTCTTTGTTCTTCAATATAAAAATAATAGCTATATATAAATTATTTTATGTGAAATAGACAAAATATGAGTAAATAGAGAGGAAAAAAAGAGAAAATAAAGAAAATTTAAAAACTCCGAGACCGGGAATTGAACCCGGGTCTTCCGCGTGACAGGCGGAAATACTAGCCACTATACTATCTCGGACTGAGAGCAGCTGTTTGTTTGTTGTGTGTCTTCGTTTTTTTTTTAATAAATACAATTTTTTCTCGTTTATCTTCTATATTTAGACCTTAACCAGTGTCTCCCTCTTGTTTGTTTTTTATGTTTTTTTTTTTAAATACTTTTGGCTTCTTTTGCTTTTCGTGTTTACCTCTCATATCTATCGTTTGTAGCTAGTATACTACCCAGGACTCAGTTTTTTTCTTTATTTGTTTGCCTTCGTGTTATTTTTTATTATGTACTACCTTCTTCTTCTGTTGATATTTATGCTTATAACATACACTCCTCCAATATATATATATATATATATATATATATATATATATATATATATATATATATATATATATATATAT